TAATATTACGTAATAAATTGCGCAATATTATATCCAGACCGTAATTCTTGCGCAATATTACGGGCCGTAATATCTTATGTAAGATTATGTTTATATAATTTGCTGATGTAGTAATTCTATCCTGCATGGGATTTTTGAAAAAACCATGATTTGTCTATCTCTAGTGATGGATCTTAAAAGAAGTATCCTCATGGTAGCAAATCCAAATAGAGCATATCTCAAAAGAAACATTCTCATGGTGGCAAATCCAAATAAAGCATATCTCAAAAGAAACATTCACATGGTGGTATTTCAAATAATTATCATTTTCACAATTATTAAGCGATCAACGTATAGTAATGACTATAGTTGTTAGACGAAACCTTGAGGTTTTGCGCTGACAAAATGCGAAACCTAGTTTTGTCTTTTGTCAACTAAATCTCAAATGATGAAATGACGAAAGGTGACGAAACTTACGAAAGGTGATGAAACTTATGAAAGGTAACAAAACTGATGAGAAACAGAAGCAAGTGTAAGTAAGGGCACCACTAGCTTCTACATTTATATTTATATAAGACTAAAATTTAAAACATACAATTATATTTAATAAGTAATTTATCAATTAAGTAAATTAGCACAATTAAGATTATTTCACATATTTCTGTATATGAATATCCTATTGGCTAAATCAATAAAAGACTTTTTATTACTAAATTAGTATAGATAATATGTAAAAATTTATAAGAGGCATTGTTTTCAGATCTTCAATTATAAAATTTCTGTAATTGGCTTTTTAAAACCTAAATATACAAGCCGGGCCCCAATAAACATCTTCGGCATTAAACATAGATGCTACCGCTAATGGCTTATTTGCTATTTATAATTTCTGTAATTGGCTTTTTAAAACCTAAATATACATATAAGTCAATAAACATCTTCAGTATTAAATATAAATAAAAAGCCTCATTAATGATTTATCAACGGGTTAAATATCTAAAATTATAGAGATAATTTAATTATTTTTATTGATAGCTTAATCAAAATCAAAATTACAGTAGTAATTTTTTAGCGAGAGAAGTAAGGATTCACTATTATCATAAAGTTTCATCAATCTAGTTTTTTTTTTTTTTTTTAGCAGAAGCACTAGGGTTTCGTCCTTCGTTAGCAGAATTTGAAGTTTCGTCTTTTGTCAGGGGTTTCGACATTTTGGGGTTTAGGTTTCGTCTTTTGTCACCAAGCAAACAAGGTTTTGTCTAACAACTATATGTACATATATACTTTTCATAGCAATGGTGTTTAATAGTCGCATATCATATGTAAATATTGAAATGTGTAATTTTTGGAACCTCAAAAATGTAATAATTTAAGTATTATACGTTCAGAGTATGTGGGTAATTTTGCAACATGAATTTTTAGCAAAATTACCATAAGGATTACTTCAAGTAATCAGCACTTGTACATGATCTCTAACAATAGCTAACTAATCATATTGAGAGAAATAGTTAAGAGTACTCTAAATTTACAAAAGTTTACAAAATTGAGGGCATATTGAGTAATATTTGAATTTTATATTCAAATTGTTAAGTTAACCAGTATGTAGAAGATATAGCCCGGAGCAAAGTAGAGAACTTTACTGCACAGAGTTATAACAGGTGCCTCTGCATTAATGTTTAGATCAGTCATTAATAACAGGATACTCTACAAGAAAAAACATTTCTTTTCGATTTTAAAAAGCAATAAAAAGTGTTAATAAAAGTAATTAATAAAATAACGATACAATATATTCATTGGCATCTGGCGTAGAATTATATATCACAGTTGAATTTTCATATTAGAAACTTAAGATTATTTTTATTTATTTAAATGAAATAAACTTTTACATTAATTAATAAATAACTGATTATTAAATTATTTTAATAGCAAAAATTGATAAGAGATTACAAACAATATATAGTTAAACTTTTTCTGACGATCATTTGAACCAAAATTTCCCACTAAAAGAAAAACAGTTTTGTTGGAAAGTTGTGGCCTAATATAGTGGTTTGTCTAGAGGTCAACGTTTGCTGTATACGGGACTCCTCTATAAGATATTCGGTATGCAAGCCAAGAGCGTTATTGTATAAGATAACTGGCAAGAGGTGGCACCCTTGTATGAAAAATCTTGGTGGAGAGATGAATGCCAAAAGAGACTCTGGTCTTCTTCATCGACGAAGCTCTTAGGCTGTTACTTCAAAGAAGAATACAGGGGAAACAACAAATATTGTTTTTCAAGCTGCACTTCTTTTACTTGGTCAAGTAGTTCCTTCTCTACTTTTTTTCGCCTCCCTGCCGGTCTTCCAAAAATTTTCAACAAAAAGTGGGACTTGGCTTACCCTCTCTAAAAGATTGGCATTGTTTACATCCCAATTTGGAACAGCATAGTAGACTACAACCACATGTTTGACGGATACAGTGCTACTATTTAGAATCGGGCCCCAGGCAACAAACTCCTAGTAACGGCAGCAGGTGGCTTGAGATACGGGTCTTCGGATGGCGGCAGCACCTGGCTTGAGATACGGATTAGGATGGGCTAAACGAATCTATCTGGAGTTAGTCGAAAAGAAAATCAAATAATAAGACAAAGCTTTACAAGAGAGATATACAACTGTTGTAGTTGTTATATAATTTTTTAGTAGCCTGCCACGGGTTATAATAGTGCCTTTAGGATTTTAGATTTCTTTTTATGTTTTTTCTTTTTCGCAATCAGTGTTTTCTTTTTCTTTTTTGTTTTTTTTTTTTTCATTTTTTGGTCGGTTTCGTAAACTTTTCTTGTTAAAAATTTTTCCCTTTTGTTTCGTGTCTCTTGAGAAGAAGGAAGAATTAGAAGGGAAAAAGGGATCTTGATGCGGTATACAACAACCTGTCAATAATCTTTGGGAGGTATCCATTGTACGATACAAAATTCGAAGTAAGTTTTGAATCCCGAGAGAAACTAATAGTTGTTATAGCAGGTCACATTGGGCATTATGCTTGGTGAGTCTTTATTAGATTAGAACAGTAATACAAAAGATATTATATGAGTGCCTGTTTGTATAAATTTTTCGTAGTTCACATGAATAAAGGCAGAATCGCTTAAAAAAAAAAAAAAAAAAAGATAAGAGATAACAAAAAATTAAATTTTTATTAAATCCAAAAATCGAACAAGCAAAATCAAAATTATAAGACTAAGAATCCAACCAACTTAGGGTCTTAAAAAAAAAGATTGCTCTTGCTGGAATCAAACCAGCAGTTTCAAAGTCTTAAGACCAAGAATCCAACAAACTTAGAACTCTAAAAAAAAAAAATTACAAAACCTCAGATAGTTTTTTACATTACGCCAGAATCCAACTATAGCGTCAAAACCTTAAAACCTTGGAACCTCAGAAATAAAGAAAGGAACTATATCCCGTTGAGGACCTCAGGAATAGGATAGTACGAAACTTAAGGATGTCGTACTCACACTCATGTCTCATTTAGGTGTAAGAGACCAAGAACCCCCCTGAGGTATAAGCTACGTAGAGAACTGTGATGTCAAGGACCGGCAGGATCAAAAGCCCACAAACGAGGCTGGATCGTTATTTGTGTTCATTTTAATATCCCAAATTTTAATTTCGTCAGCAACTTCAATAGATTTTTTGATAGGTGTTTAGATAAGTAAAAATAGACCCACTTTCTTGTAAATAATTTCCAATCTTTTACAAAACTTTTTACCGCAACAAGAAACATCTAACCCTTCCTTCAGAATTAGTAGACTTGTGCAGGAGAAAAACTTAGTTTTACAAAAATCATGAATACTAAATACTTGAAAATGAGCCCGATGCTATTTTTTCTCTACCAAATACTTACATTATTTTATTTCTGCAGGCAGGCATTAGATGAAGTCTTAAAAAATATATTTCGAATTGTTTTTAATTTATTTTTCAATCTCGAATTTCAAACCAATAAAATATTGATGATATACTTACAATATTTAACAAGAAAATGTTTAGTAGAGCTTAAGGTATAAAGAGAAAAAAAACAATAAACAGTATTAACGATATTAACGATAATGTTCACTAAAGACAAAATTCAAATGAATAATAAAAGAAAAATACTGTACGTTTGAAAAGGTGTGTCTTCAAAAAAATCAGTTTCAAATATTTATATGCGAATCTACATGAGCATTGTATATTCAACCAATCAACATAGTAAATTATCAGCTGAGCACTTTTACTTAATAAACGACTATGATTCATTAGTTTAGTGATCTTGGCAAAATTGATCAATTCCGGCCTATCTGACCAGAGTTCCGATGCATTCCGACCAGGAATTTTGGGATTATCATTTACCAAATTATACATGATTAAATTTTGGCCAATAAAATTTCAATTATGTATGATGATCATCATGTAACTACTGATTTCTTATAGTTTATAGTTGATTCACCCAATAATAGGTTAGAACTGAACAGCTGTTTTTTTTACTGATTTCCTACCTTTTTTAAAACTAAGTACGCTTATATTTATAGCAAAACGATGTCTTTCTCTACAGATTAATGTGTACAAGCTTGCCTTGCAAAAAATTACGCAATAATTCTTTAGATCATAATAATTACCTTAATACTGCTTAATGGAGTTTTAGCTTCTCAAGGTTATCCATCGTATTCTGTAAATAACGCGTGGGTTCAAATAACTCAAAAATGCGCAAAGGCTGCTTTAGAAAGATTAGAGGTTGAAAAATTTGTAATTATGATTAATTTAACAATGTCAGCTTTTAGCCGAACAGACAGAAAACATCGTAGCAAAAGAAATCATACAAATAGTGAAAAGGTAAATATTTTAGGCCATACAAATTTAATTACTTGGTTTTCATAACATGAAACTTTTAAATAGACCCGGCCGGCCGGCTTTTTTT